CACACAGATCTTACAATACAACATATATTCAGGCCCCCACAGGCCTTGTATCTGTGCCTTTCCCCTCCCGTCCTGTGGTTCCTGTCTACACTTCCCAAAAGCAATTTTAAGTAATTTTAAATAGAATTTGTACAACACAGATTTTCCAAATGCTCTCAACTGCTTATTAACAGAAAGACAAATGACTGACTGCTTGTCCTGGTTTAGGGCAAATTTGTTAAAGAATCTGCAAAGGAGGGCCCCTCCAGAAAGCAAAACCACACGGCCCCTCCCCCCAACCAGTTCAGGAAAAAATTCCTTGGAGAGAGGTGGAAAGAACCTGTTTATTTCAGGCACAGCACCCCCCAGCACACAAAATGAACAATACCCAATGACAGCGCTCTGAGAAAGATGACGAAATCAGAAAGTCTCTTTCGGGGGTGGTTGCTCTGTTCTCAGTCCCTCCGGCGCTGGGGCAGCTGCTGCAGCCAAACCTTCGGTGTTCCCGAGTCCCAGTCCGGAGCAGGTTCAAGGTGGTCACAGAAACAGGAGAGGAGAAACAGTCCAGGAAGGAATGTGGACTGTTTAGCTAAACTAGCTAATAAGCAGAGGCCAAAGCAGAGCAGACATGAGAGCAGAAAAGGGAGCAAGCCAAGCAGCAAGCTGAAAGCAAGAAGTGAAAACAGCCCTATGTACTGCCTGTCTCTGTGTTCCTGATAAGAGAAACCCAAACAAAACTTCCACTCTTCAGAGCCGGTCTTAAAGGCACAGAACAGATGAATGGGGATACAAGCATCATAACGTCACCCCAGGACACTGCTATTGCTAAATCTATCACCAGAAATTAATATTCTGGGATTTACTCCCAGATTTGGGGTCTCCAGTTGAACACACAATAAAAAGATAACATTTTCTCATAAGAATTTATAAGGTAAAATAAATTATTTGACAGATACCACTGAGAGAGGAAGTAGTGCAAGCATTGACAACACAGTCTCAGCATGTGGGTAGCCTAGATATCATCTAGGCTTCAGAAACTCTGTAAAACAGAGCTTTACAGGGAGACTTGAAGAATAAGGTTGATGTAGCCCAAGAGAATTGTAAGCAGCACCTTCAATGTGCAAGCAGTAGTATGGAGCATGATTAGGAGAAGTAGATTTAATGATCTAGTTAAACATAACTCTAACATCATAGAGTTAACTTCTAGATAGGGAAGTGAGAGATGACAGGAAGACAAGAAGAAGCTGTCAGTGACTTCAAAAGTGGGGACAAGAAGCTTAGGCTTGATGAGATAGAGAAAAGAGATAGAAGAAATGTGTAGATAAATGTAATGGGCTCAAAGGGATGGACATAAAATAGGATTTTTGTGTCTCTGACTCTTGGATGGCTGCAAGTAAGATCAGTTTACAAAAGCCTGATAAAACATGAAGTAAGGATTTCGCATGGAGATACATGCAGAAGATTCTTCAATATGCTTGGGTATCCTTTGATACATGATATTATATGCCAGCCCATAGCAGACAGCTGGGAGTTCTAGGCTTTATTCCACTTCTGACATCAACATTTTTATAAGGTATGTTGCTTAATCAATGTAAATTTTTCTTCTTGCAGCTCATTCACATGATCTTGTATGCTCACCTATATCTCAGAGAAAGTCAGAAACTTCAGGCTCTGATTTGGCAGTGGCTCTAGACTCTTTCAAAATGTGTTTTGCTTGTTCTCACTCCCAGAGCAGGATTCTGATACTGATAAGACACTTGACAAAGCCTAGCAATGCATGTTTGTAGCCCAGAAAGCCCGTTGTATCCTAGCCTGCATCAAAAGCAGCATGACCAGCAGATTAAGGGAGAGGATTCTACCTCTCTACTCTGCTTTTGTGAGACCCCCACTTGCAGTACTGTGTCCAATTCTGGGGTCCTCAACATAAGAAGGGCATGGAGTTGCTAGAGCAAATCTGGAGGAGGCCAAAGAGATGATCAGAGAACTAGAGTCCTTCTGCTATGGAGACAGGATGAGAGCTGGGCTTGTTCATATTGGGGAAGAGAAGGATCCAGGAGAACTTAAAGTCCCTTCCAATACATAAAAGAGCTATAAGAAAGCTGGAGATGGGCATGTAGTGATGGGGCAAGGGGTAATGGCTTCCAACAAGCAGAGGCCAGGGTTACATGGGGTATTGTGCAGAAATTTTTCCCTGTGAGGGCAATGAGACACTGGCACAAGTTGTCCAGAAAAGACATTCCTACCCCATCCCTGGAGGTGTTCCAGGTCAGGTTGGGTGGGGCTTGGAGCAACCTGGTCTAGTGGAACGTGTTGCTGCCCATGGCAGAGGGTTTGAAGATCCCTTCCAGCTGAAGCTATTCCAGAATTCTATGATACAATGAGTGGTGCACAGTGGGAGCAGACACAGCAGATCTGCACCCTTGAATGCTCAGTTTCCATTCCTTACATTTTAGCAATTAGACATAAATGACTTGCTCTCCCTTGGCCATAATCCCTTCCTTTGCTTATGTCTCTTCCAGAGGCAGCACTAACAGGCACTAAAGACAGGACACTGACTAGCACCAACAAAGTAAAACAGTGACAGGCAATAGCATGTCTGTACCAACAGGTACACCCCTTCATCCACAAAGATTACCCAAAGTGCAGAGTCTCCAGAGCAATCTGTCATGCTAGTATGCGCAACAGGAGGGGTACCCATTGCAATCAATCATCCCTGCCTATAAGAAAATACTTTTGTAGATCCTTAAAGAAAAATTAGTGATACCTTATCTACCTTCTGAATATCTAGGCCTCTAAGCACACATTTGACAGAAACACATCAAATGTGCACAACAGGGTCACGTGAGACTTATCCTGGGGAATAAGGAAAAGGTAGTTGGATTTTATTATCTGCACAGATTATCCAAGAGAACCCCACATAACAAGCTTTTTTCTCTCTTCATCTTTAGAGAGCCATTTTCCCAACAATTTGATGCCCACAAACGGCCACATACTTTTAGATGTGATATACTTGGATCCCAGAAAGAAAGCTGCTTCAGATGATGATTGCAATAAAGCAATATTCATACACACACACACACATATATATGTACACATACATTTAAAAAGTATGCTCATATCTGCATAGTCCCAAACACTAAGGACTATTTTGGCTGAATTCCTTTACATTCATCTCTTGCAGTCAGAGAGGAGTACCTTGTTCAAGATGGCCCTTCTTTCAAGCACAATCCATCAGAATTATTGCAACAGTGGTGTTTTGTGCTCAGCAAACTATCAGAACAAAAGTGCAAAAACACTTCTGGTCTTCAGGCTCCTAGTTCAAGAAACAATATAGAATTCCACATTTAGATAAAGAAATATTTTTTAATATTTTGCTCAATAGACATCCCCTAGCATTACATACTGGAATGCATAGAACAGAAATATGGTAAACTGTCTTACCAGCAAAAAAGAAATGTCACTTTTCACTCTGCTTCTGTCCCTTGATAGTTTAAACTGTGTGGTTTGATGATCAGGCAGTAGCAGCAGTGGCATGATAAAACAGAGCTTACTGGGCCTGATTTTAAAGATAATCTCAAGAACCAATGAAAAACTGCTCTGATTATCAGATTGAGTTAAAGTAGCTATATATGTAATTTCTCATTAGTCATGGAGAAAAAGGAATTTCTGCTAAAGCATTAACATTTAAAAGGGCAAGTAATTTGCTGAATAGAAAAGTATCTACTTGCAACTTTTATATAAATAGGTCAACAAAATAACTTTCTAAGTGACCTAAAGACATTTCCTAGCCCTGTGTGGATGTCGGGCTAAACTGCCTCCAGCCAAGACCTGTGCCCAACTGTGCTCAGACCCCTGCAGCATCCCTGAGCTTCCCTGCCCTGTACTTCTTCCACAGCTGATTGCTGCACTGTGCTCAAAGGGCAGCTCTGGAAGCGAAGGCCAACAACCATTGCAGTGCTTCCTTGTCCTGATCCTAGAGTGTATAAGGAACAGATCTTCCCATGCCCAGCAGCAGTGATGCAATGGCAGTGTTACAGCCAGGAATCCATCAAGACAGTCTTGTACACGGGTCTAGTGAGAGAACTGAGAGAGAGAAGTAGTCAAAGAGCAGACTAACAGTCTGTCAGTATCAGCTTCTGTGGCCAAGAGACAGGGAGGCAGGGGCCATGCAGAAATGGAGATGGACATTTCCAAACTGGTACATCAGAATGGATTGTGGTGCTTCTCCCAGTACCTGCTTTTTGACCCTATTGTTCATGGGGGAAAAAAATTTCCAAATCAGAACTGCTAGATCAGGGACATTTGCAGTTTGCTCCTGAGAGGCTTTGAAAATCCCCCACCTCAAACCCCTCCACATCCACAGTGACAACTCCCTGACCAAAAGCTTAATTGTTACACATTGCTTCAAAGGGAACTACTTCCCTTATTTTAATATCCTGGTATCACACACTTGTTCATGAAGTCTGCCTCCTAGGGTGAGCAGAGATAATTTCCAGCCCGACATAACACCAAACCACCACCCATCTATCAGATGTACAGCTACATAGTGTTTCAGTAACAGAAACAGTTCCTTCAGCAGTTCTGTGGCTATCAATACAAATGGAAACAGAGCACACAGGACTGAGATGTGAAGGGCCCCAGAAAAACAAGCGAGTTTCTCCTTTAAGCAGCCTGGGGTCAGTTACCACAGTGTAGTTTCTGAAGTGAAAAGAGCTGCAAGATGAAGCTGCAGAAGACTGTGCTGAGACCACCAGAAATGCTTCTGGTCCAGTACATATTTGCATCAACATGATCCCAACGCAAGCTGCCCTCATAGGATAGTGTGAGGCAGTCAGCTCTTCAGGGCAGTGGAGCTGGGGTGATTCTCTGCTGGATTCTCTGCTGCCTTGTGGAGAGCATGTGAAGGACCAGTAGCAGCAGGGATTGGATCAGCAGTAGCAGCAGAGGGACCAGGATCAGCACATGAAGACAGCTATTCCTATGACTTAGCACAGCACATGACAAGAAAAATGGAAAATAAGGAGGGAAGAAACCAAAGAAGCTAATATATCTCAAAGCAGTACCCCGGAAGACACTGAGCTAGGGATGTACTGGGGGAGTAATAACTACATGGACAAAACTAAGTCATGTAGGTCCAAAATCAACATAACAAATACCATGGCAGATCTGAACAATCAAACCAGAGGATGTGGATGCAATGCAGTACTGTCCCAGCACTCACCTCTGAAAAAAACAGCTTCTCTTTACTACAGTGCTCTCCCCAGTTTAGGGAGCTGTGGGGTTGCCTATAGTCTCAGGTAAGAGAAGGGAGTGAGGGAAGGGAGTTTATTGGTATCACAGCAACAACAGATTATTACTACATTGCAAACATGCATCATTCACCACAAAGGTTCTCTCAAGATACAACCTTTTGGAGCCAAGCAGTCTATGGGTTAGTAGCACTATGTCTATGTAAGATGAAGGTCTTCACATTCAATTTCAGTATTACTCTTCAGTGACTTTTTAAGACATGTATCCTGAACAAATCAGAGATATGGGGATGCCAGGGAGAAAAACGGATTCAAGGTTACAGTGCAGTTTCATATTTGGCTTTATTAGCTAGCAGAAATTGCTCAAAATTTGTCCTACTGACCTGTTAACTGCAGCAGAGCAAGTCCAAGGCAGAAGTGGCAGGCATATCCAGGTAGGACAATGTTTCGATAATTTTGGCAAAATTCTAAAAGCTGCTCAATTAAAATGCTTGAAAAGTACAGGGAGAGAGTCTGACTCAATAGAAAAGCCAAGTAGTGAGAGCTTATTTAGAATTATATATCTATTGAAGTCTTTTCATTTGCAGACACTACCTGGAAAATCTTTCTGAATCCTGAGTCGTGCTTAGTCTTTAGTACACGCATTTCTGCAATGATTTCATAAGAATTAGTTTTGATCCCCATGGACCGGTCTGGAGCCAGTCTGTAATTAACAGACTATTACAGCTGAGTTTAAAGAGCCAAAGATAGTAGAAGGAAAAGTAACATCACATGTTGTTTGGAAAGGTAGGGGAACTTTAACATAGCAAATGTGCTTGCCATGAGTTATGATTCTAAGGTTCCATGTGCAGCCAAACTCTTAAGTCATGTGAGAATACCAGGGAAAATAAAGTTCTGTACTCTTTATAAGATTATTGCAAAAAATTTTTCATATCTATATAAGCCAAAGGATAATTTTCAAGGTACAGTTGCTTTTTTCTAACTTTTTTTTTTTTTTTTACACCAAGGGAGGGTTGATCTGTGATTCTAAATAAAACCAAAACCCAACAAAACTCAAGAACAATCAATCACAATAAATTTGAGACATTAATAAGCAGGAATAGAAACAGGTATTATTTCTGTGGACCTAACAGGTGCCAACTTATGCAATAGAGCTTAGACAAAGTAAACTTTTCTCTTCTGAATTTTGCTAGCCGTTTGCTCCTGGCACACTATGAAAAAGGCTCCACACTCATCCAGTCCTTAGTTTGTCTGTGTCCCACTGACAGGGCTCTCAGAGCGGCAGGAGACCCACTGCTTGACGTAGCTCCGTGTAAAGTCTTGCCCCTCTTGCTCAAGAGGGATGGACCCACAAATGGTCTGACTGTTTTGCCCAAATTCAGAGTCAACTGGACTTCCACAGTCTGAGTCCACAAAGCCACTGTCAATAGTGTCCAAATCTACACAGATCAAAGGATAACTGTCACCAGGCTTTGTATTGTGAGGGAAGAAGTCATAGGAGCCTTCACTGTAGGAAACACTTTCACCATCAGGAGAAGGTAGAGAACCTGGATTTTCCAAATCCCACTGATAAGGCTGCAAGCAAAGGGCTTCTAGGATGCTCCCCACACCTCCTTCCACTCCCCTTTCTCCTTGCTGGTTGACTGGGACACTTGTGCTCCTCAGGTGGTCTGTGGACACAGAGCCTGAAGCAAGTATTTTGTCCTGTGTACTCAGATCAGCCAAATGTAAGTCACTGGATATCTTTCTGTCTTCCTCATCAAGGTTAACCTTGGGGTAACCGGGTTCTCCAGCATTATCATCTTCCTTGTTGGTATGGTCATGTTCCCTGTACACATGATTACAGCTGCACTGGCAGTTACAAGATGTAAATTCATCAGCCACAGTCACTGTATCAATTGACAAATGCCCATATGACTGGTCCTCAGTCCCATCACTACTGTTTACACTGCACCACGGTGACTGGCTACCATGACCTGGGGTAGTCAGGCAAGACACACAGGGCTTGCAAGGCAGATTCTTTCTTAGCTCATGCAGCTCTTCCTGTGGGGTGCTGTTGGAAGGATGCATGGTGTAAACTTCTAGGACTTCTGGAAGGACTATTCCCCATTCAAAGAAATCAAAGGTCATTTTCATATGGGATGCACCAACCCACTTCTGCAGAAAAAGAAACACAGGGAGAGGTTAGGTTAGCACCACAAGGTTTGAGGTTCCACAGAAATAACCAAATTTCTTACACCTTTGAAGGCAAAAATTAAATTCACTGACTCCTCCAATATAGCAGGATGATGCTATTATTATGAGATATGGGCAACTGCAGGAGAATTAATTGAAGTAATTGAAAATAATTAGCTCTGAGAGCTTTGTGGTTTTCTCTGACACTCCCGACAGGATGCCAGGCTTCAGAAATCCCATGAACTCAGCTCACACATTGAGACAGCACTTACAGAGAATAAAGAGTATAGATGTAACATAAAGATTTTCATGGCACTGAACAGATACTGGAAAGCTCTGGTTCTTATATCTGGAGACGTTTGGCATTCCTTTGAAATAGATTTCTCCTTCTACTGCCCTAATGAAAATCCCTTGCTTAGGATAGCATGATGGCCTTTTAGTTTGTCATGTACTCCATTCACTTGAGTAGCCCATTTATACCTTAAAATCTCCATTATGTGCCATGTAAAGAGGTTTGAAAAAGGGAGCAGGGTCTGGGATGCAAGCCATCTTCTTCCACAAGCTGGAAGAGAAAAGAGAAAGGCTTTGGGGTTAATCACACATTAAAAATGCAAATCAAGGCATCTCTAGATCCATTTCAAGCAACTGGAATCACTTGCCCAGCCTCGTGAGTTAGCAACAGCTGAGGTTCCAAGGATGTCTTTTGCTGCCAGAGTAATCTAATAGCCTTTCTTGTGAACCTCACTAGAGGTGAGACCTCAGCACTTGCACACACACATTCACACTGAGGTAAGAGGTTCCAGTTTTTTTCCTTCCTGGAAAAGCACCAGATGCTAGAAATGCATTTTCACTGAGGCTGAGCTGGTTTGTGGTCTGCAGGCCAGACCACAAACCTATGCAATTCTTCTGTGGACCTAGGCTGTGCCAGCCCTATTGCTGCACCAGCCCAGCCCTCCTCCATGTCAGCATCCCATATCTCTTCAAGGGCATAAGAAGCCTCTGAGAGGGACAGAGGCTTCCAGCCAGCATTGAGAGACCTATGTCAGCTTTGGAAGGGGGCAGCTCTGGCTACTGTGCTCTATCTGGCAACTGCAGAACACAGACAAGACCAGGAGAACAGCTCAGAAGGCTGTGTGGCCCTTGCTTCATGCGCATGTGCCACCATCTTGGCCCAGCCAGCTAACGGCAACAGAGTCACAGTGAAAAGCAGGTCACTCGGGGCAGCACATCAGCCAGTGACCATTCCTGGCTGTCCCTCACAGGTTCTTAGCTGCCCACTCATAGATATACAAGACTCAAGGAAGGCTGCATTAACTTCTGCCTCCTGAAGCATTCTTACCTCTGCTGTTTGGCCAGAAATGTTGTGATTGAAGCTATGATTGCCACGACAATACCAAACAACAACAACCATTCCATGCCTGCTGTCTGTGTCACTGCTGGAGAAAGAGACAAGGTCATTCAGGCTCACCTTGCATTTATATCCTGATCAATAATCAGTAGATGGTGAAGGGGAAAAGGGTTTTTGGAATACAAAGTGTTGTCAAGCATTGGAATGGACTGCCCAAGGAGAAGGTGGAGTCACTATCCTTGGAGATCAAGAGACTGGACATCGCTCTTACTACTATGGTCTAGTTGATTAAGTGGCCATCAGTCAAAGGTTGGACCTGATAATCCTGAGGTCTTTTCCAGCCTAAATGATTAATTTCTACCCCAGATTTTCTCATTGGGATACTGAGGCTGTCACCTGGGCATCTGTACTCCAGACAGGTTTGATTGAGGGTGCTCAGTGATGACTGCATCAATGAAAGGAGCAGCACATCAGCTGCCCTATGACTTGGCTGCACAACAGACAGCCAACAGTTAGGGCAGGACAGCTCCTTCCCACAAAGATCCCTGGTATTCTGACTCCTGGTTAGGGACACCTCCACAGATGATTTGTGAAGTGAAAGAGTGCAGTTGATTAGAGACAGGTGTTGACTAGATGATGGTTTGGTAGCTGCTCTCCACCTGTGATGAAAAGCAGCATCTTTGAGATCCAGTACTCAGATATCCTTTAGCAAATGGAGCCTGGCCATGCTGCCATTGCACCAGGTAAACCCTGTAATACATCAGTTTGAGCTGCAGAGCAGTGAGAGCAGAGAAGCTCAGCACATACTGCTGGCAGTGATCACAGTAATTTTGCACCTGCTCTATTGGAGCAAAGGCTCCTTATTTCATAAGCTCTGTTCCACCATGACAAGCATCAGTGTACTTCCATATACTGTGAACTCCCTGCAGAGTACTGCAGAGTGGTGGCTACCAAACAAAACATCCAGACCCAGCATGACCCAACATCACAGTCCAGACACAGAACTCAGGTTTGAGAGCAGGATCCCCCTTCCCTCAGCTGAAGACAACACTAAGACCCAGTAGAGGAGATCTCTCCCATTTCTGAAAGCTGCAAATAGGACCCTGGACATTTGACAATGAAAAGGAAGCTAGAGGCTGCACTCCTGCAAGTGGTATCCAAATGTACAGCAACTCCACAAAACACTCTTTCTTTTGCCACACTGTGAGAACGTCAATACTGACAGCCCAGGCTTGGGGTTCACATAACCAGTAAGGAAGCTAATCATACCTGTCTTCACTGGACTGTTTAAAATTTGTTGTAATTAATTAGATTTTATTAAATTTCTGAAAGCATTCTCTGACACTGGACTAATTAAAAGGGCAAGGAGATCTGGCAGCATGTACCGGCAGGGCTGGTTTTCAATGACAGCGGAGAACTCCATTCACTCCAAAAGCCACCATAGTCACTGTCTTCCCGGGGTCTAGCTCTCACTTGGAACTCGTACTCAGTGTCCGCCTGTAGTTCCCATGGCAGGATCACCAATGTCCGTTTATCTTCATGAACAGCTTTAGTCTTCTGAGTCTGTGAATGATTAAACAACACTAGAGTGACTGCTCTTACTTTGCTCACATTGCTGCACAGTAAGGATGCCTGCAAAGTAACCTCTTCTGCTTTCATGTTGTTTCTGCAAGGCCATGCTCTGACTGGTCAGCAGCTACATGCAATCCTGGGGGAGCCTTCCAGGCAGGACAGCATGAGAATCAAATGAATTATCAGTCTTCCTCACAGGATCTAATACTTCTCACACAGCTTCTGCGTCTCAATTAATTTTTGGATTTGCCTGTTTTCAGCCCAGTCGAGCAGAGAGACATTTTTTCTAAATTATGAAAACTCTTTTTTCCCACCAGTGCTACTGTCTTAGATGTGCTGGCCTTCTCTTTTCTGGTACACCCCAGTTGATGGTAAACTGCCATCTCACTTACCTCCCAAGTGTCAGTTCTTCTTTTGTAACGCAGCTGATACTCCAGCTCCTCATTCAAAAAGTAGAAGGAAGAGTTCTGGTAGATGGTTTCCCAAGAAATATTGTAACCTTCTGAGAACAAAGCGGTCAGGTTGAATGGAGGCTGTGGTTTTACTGAAAGACAGGATGGTGTTATACAGTTAAGAGATGGCCCAACATGGTAACAGCAATGCAGAGCGAGTAGGGAACAAAGCTGCCCTAGCAGTGGTGGGCCTTCCTACACTAGAGAACATCCACGGCATTCCTGTCCTCAGCCATGCATGGAACCCCACATGTGAGGAATATAATGAAGTCAGGACCACATTTATCTCTATATATATCTTCTGCTTGTCTCTGAAGCTCCTCATTGCCTATGGAGAAAGATAGTACACAGAGCTAATAAACTGCTGGGAGATTATTTAAAATGTAGATCACCTTGTTCTTCCCATGACATAAAAGAACTCTGTGTAGTCACAATCACTCACAAGACTGGGGAAATACCCCTCAATGTAACAGAGTCATGAGGAAAAGTTGAGGCTACGAGATACTGCATAAACCCACTGCAATTCCATGCCCCATCTGCTCAAAAAGCAAGCTTTTGTATCCCTGCAGGGAGCGTTCATATACTGAAAAGCAGTAGTGCAAAACTCCAGCAGTCTGCAGAGCCCACCGCTGAGCTATGATGCCTTTGGATGAGGGCCTCTAGGAGATATGCAAAGCACCACTACCCAATCTCTAGTCTGTCAGTGGGAGTAAGAAGGCTTCCTGAAATGTTAAGGCATTTGTCAAAAAGATGACGTTTCTCAAGTAAAGTTTCAGAAGAAGCCAAATAGAAAAATCCTTTTCCTACATCTGCCTGGTACCCATCTGCCTGGCTCACCACTCCTTTTTTTTCACAGTTTGATACACAGCCCAGAACTTACCAGCATTTCACCAAGTCAGCTACATGACTGCATTCCGTCTGCGTGTCATGCAGGAGAAATGACTAGGAATTGCCCCAGAAAGGGGAACTCCCACATCCAGTGCATCTGGGAAACCTTTTGTCACCCAAAATAATGTCATGTTGATTCAGGTGTCCACTGCAAAAGCCTTTTGAGAGCCTCCAGCTCCTTGGATATTACAAGAGAGCTCTAGAAAGACTTTTGACAAGGGCATGTAGTGATAGGACAAGGGGGAATGGCTTCATGCTGACAGAGAACAGGGTTAGATGGGATATCAGGGAGAAATTCTTCTCTGTGAGAGTGGTGAGGAACTAGCATAGGTTGCTCAGAGGAGCTGTGGCTGCTCCATCCCTGGAGGCATCCAAGATTAGGTTGGATGGGGCTTGGAACAACCTTGGTCTAGTGGAAGGTGTCCCTGCCCATGGCAGGTAGTTGAGCTGAGTGATCTTTAAGGTCCCTTCTAACCCAAACCATTTTAAGGATTCTGTGATTTGTGACATTTGTTATAAAGTAATTCCTCCTGCCCTTTAGAATCTAGCCAAGAACAAGCTCTTGCATAGCCTAGGTATGAGATTGGTCTAAGGTGGATATTTATCACCTACTGCTTCATGGGGAAAAGGAATTTCCACACAAAAAGCATGGAACAAGCCAGCTTGAAGCTCAGCTTCAAGCATACCAGCAATATTAAGAGTACAGTGCTTTCTGTAGATGAATGTACAGCAAACATAGCCCCACACTGCTTGCTGCCACTCTCGTCCTTGTCCAGACTATCCTAGCACATAAAGTCAAAGAGTATTTATGGAATTCACCATTTTTGTACTTACTGTTGTCTGACAAATAAAATTCTTTGGAAAGCACGTGCTGCCTATCAGCTATCTCTGTAACATCCACATGGACTTTGGTATCTGCTAGGAGTTCAGTCATGTCCACAGTGCACATGTACTGTGTGTGACTGGTGTTTCTTGACAATTGCACGAGACTGCAGGCAGCAGTATTTTCTGGATCTTCCTCAGGAACCCTAAAAAAGCCAAAATAAAGAAGTCTGCATGTATTACATGTGGTAGTTGGATTAATTTGTTGCTGAACCACCAGGCACAGGAAATTATTAAAATGAAAAATCAACATGTTCAAATAAAAAATTATCTTTGAACTTCAAAACATTTTTTTCCCCTTCTACTTGCTCAGCTTAGCATCTTTGAGAGAAATAGGAAAGTGTTTCTGGAAAGGAAAGGTGCTCCTCAGGGCTACACAGCCCAAGACTGCATCCACTTCCTTGCTGGGACAGAACAGCAGCAGACTGGACAATCTACATGAGCCCTGCCAATGCACAGAGGCGACATTTCACTTTTAACAGCAGCAAAGGGCAAGGTATTCCCATGGTAGCAGAGAAGGCAATGCTAAGGAAGCTGGGGCCAGCATAGCAGTCAGCAGCAAGAAGCACAGTGAGTGCAGACAGGAACCAGGGGTCCTTTGCTAGGGAAGAAGTCAGTTTGTAACTGCGGTGCAAAAAACCAAGTAAAAAACCAGCATGGCAGCAAAACCAGGATTTCTCCCTAACAAAGAGGACAGAAGGTCACCACTGTGCTATGGCCATATAGAAGCTTCTGCTAACTGGACTTGCTCATCCCATCAAGACATACCATGTAGCAGTGAGATTGTATGAACCAGCACCCAACTCATCTCGCAGGATACAGGACAGCGTCTGTACATAGTCCACAAAACAAGTGAGGCTTTCACAACACATAGCTGTAAATTTGGAAAGAGAAAATGCAATATCAACTTCTGTGATAAATCAACATATGCACTCCTCAGGGTTCCCACTACATCTGAAGGAAACAAACCAGTCTGACAACCGCCCTCCCTCCCACTGAAAGTCTCCAGTTTTGGGGCATAAGACATGTTCCAACTCTACAGGGTGACAAGTCATTGACGGCAAGATAAGTGTCAAACAAAAACCTATTAAAAACGCTGTAGCAGCCAAAATCAGGAAATGCCCAAATTGGGACTCCTGTAGAATCACTACAGCAGAGTCACATATTCCTGCAGGAATCTTAGCTTATATGGCACATAGAAGAGGCCTAAAACCCAGTAAAAAACAGTAATTCAAACATTTTAATGATACCACTTTCTAAATTGAGTACTGTTCATTGCTAGTCTAGTTTTCATTGTACATCTACATAGCACTTTACACATTTTTTCAAGTGCTATTTCAGTAATTTTTTCTTTGCCATTCTCTTTTCTGTTTTCTAAAGCTTGATATCTGCAGTATCAATACTTTTCATGTCCAGCTCTAGAATCTTGAAGTACATTTTTAATGAAATTTGGGAATAAAAATACTGCAAATTTGTAGTTACTGTAATTTCTACAAAACATTCCGATAAGCACAATTTATTAATTACCGACTTCTCAAGAGAACTTGAAATGCAATTGTAGAACTTATACTGGTCATTAGGAAAATCAAGTAATTTTTTTGAAAGTGGTCACAAAACAGCATTTATACTCTTCTACTTGCTCTGCAGGAGCTCTGCTCAGAGAGCACGTGCTTTGTAAAAGTACAATTGTCCTGTACATAACACACTTATCTCCCTGGATTTCAAGGCAGATAAGATAGTAGCACAGTGAGAAATGTCTGCATTGACAAGTCCCCTCCTGACAGCTCCCTGGGCTAACAAGAACCACCACCATTACACTAGGAAATGGCTGAATGAGGAAAGGCCTGTAGGTGATGCAGCATGCCATGCTGGTTCAAACCATGCCTACTGCAGTGACCATTCATTTCTGACACGTAAAGTAGTACCCATTTCTGATGGGAATAAAATGCTCATCACCTAGGAAAACCCTCATGATTGTTACATCCATACTTAAATCAAGCATCTGTCCTCCCCTACAGTAAAGGCTGCTCCCAGCCTCCTGAGAACACACTACTTTGCAGCCATCAGGCAACTAAACCCTTTGATGCTAACCATGCCGCAAGCTTACTTCCCTTTGTTGTTCTGCTGCTTTCTTGGTTAGAGAAGCTGCACTCCCTGCTTCCTCCTCCCCTGTTGCAACATGCTTATGTCCAGAGTATTGTTTGTTAACGTGATATGCTCATCAACCCCAATGCCCAATCTTACAGCTGAAGCTGTACACAGGGAACCACCATGGAATGCAGACAGTGTGTGCAATGAAGGACCAGAAACATCGGTTCTGCCCTCCAGACTAAACGGCTGTCCACACAAACAGGCTGTCTGCATTGACAGTCACAACCAACAGCAGGCGTGTCCAGCAGAGGGTGCAGCCTCCTTCTAGGGTGGGGTAAGTCCAGAGGAAAGCAAAGTCCAACTTTTCCCTGCTGAAGTCATCCAACATTTACTTCCTAGTCCTCACGTATCAGAGCACATGCTATTCTCCCTACACAAGCTCTGGGCAGCACTCAGATTTGCATACAAAATCCTTCTTAACCCAAAGGTTTAGGATGGTGGCAGAAGAAATTTGGGGATATTTGCAACAGATTGGTCCCAAGGAGGTACATATGATTTTTTTTAAACCTTTATTTTGACTTTTTAATTTCATACTGACTTCAGAATTCTTTTTTAAATTTTAACTAAGTTCTCACATTTTATTTTGAACCCTCAATAGACTCTTCTGAGGGTCCTGGACCAAGGGCTGTTTAGTCTAGAATCCTAAGCAACTTTTTCCCTTTTAGCCCAACTTTATTCTCCTAAAAAAAAATGGGGTTAGGAAACTCTTGCATTCTTTTAGAAAGGGCAGCAAGTATTAATAGGCTATTAATCGTCAGTAATTAGTGTTCTTCTAGGTTATTATGTTGATTAGTCAAACAGATTACTATTCCTAGGTGGACAGACTACTCTTCCTAGGTAGCTGGTTAGTTGCAAGGGTATCTTCTGTTAAAAAGAATTAAGATGACAGTTTTTCACTGGGAGAGGAATAATTAAGTATCCTAAAACCAATTAGTTAGATCTAGGATCTAGATCTAGGAGAAATGTCTCTCCTTGGCAGCTTCAGAAACAAAACTCAAATACTTTTAACAGTAAGATCTAGATTTATCGAAACTGAAATTAGTACATGGTAATTCCCTGGCTTGCATCACAGAAAACTTGGACCAGACATTTTTTTCTGTCCAGCTGATCCAGGTCTGAGTCAGCTGGAGTTTGCAGTGTGGGTAGGAGCCAGAAAAAAAAAGGGGGGGGGGGCAGGGGGTGTGACTGTATGCACAGTCCAGTCCCAAGCAAAGGGACTCAGACTAGGAGAGGTTCACTACACTGATCCTGGCTGACCAGACAACAGCAACCCTGGGGATATCCTGGTCTTGGTCACCAGAACCTTTTCTACAGCAAAGGGTATTTTTGGTGGGGGAAATCCTACTCTAATGTCACCAGGAGACATTTCAGTGCAAGACAGGCACTGCCTCTGCAGGCTCTCCACAGGTGCTGCTCCCCAGAGCCGTATACAGCCTGGCTGAACTCTGCCCAGCTGTGCAACTTCCTGTGCCTGCCCTCCACTCACTACTGCATGGAACTCTCTCGCCTAGGACCTCATCCTCCGCTTGCTGTCCCATGGCAACCTTGTGCCATGCACATCTCATGAGAGCTGGCACGTACGGTCACTAAGATAAATCCTGTGGTTGTACAATCTGAAAGAAATATCTGAGGACTTACTGTACTGGAATAAAAGGCAGATGAAAATATTCTGGAGCCACGGTTTGTTCTTCATGGTGGTTCTCAGTGGATGTCCTGGGGAAGAAAAAACAAAACAAAACAACCACAAACAATACTCCCACAATTTAGAGCTCTGCTCAGACATTTACTTGATTAAGGTTGAGGTGGAATTAATCTTGCTTTCATTTAAACATCTAAAAGTAGAGTGCCTTATTAAGACAATTAACTTCAGCTCTTCTGTGTATATCTTTCCCATGGGCTAAGGGGGTTATGACCAACAGCCTGCCAACTTGCCATAAGCAAGGTCTGTGAAATCTTTGCTCTTTGCTAGCACATGCACAGAGAAAGCAGCAAACTGACTGCAGCACAGGCTATCCAGGCAACAAGAAAGACTCTTGTGCTATTTTTTTCTTCATTAGTATATTGCAGCTAGGAATGGCTTGCCACTAGAAGTGACATTGCTGCAGATTAAATAGCTACACAGTGAATTGGCCAAATGGAGTCTGAATATCATTGTGGGTCTGTGTGAGGAAAGCTAGTGAGAACTCATTGATTTGGCCTACCTGTAGTTAAATAAGCATGAAATATCTAGTTAAGGGACTCCAGAAAGACAGACCAGAATAAAAAAAGAAAAAAACCCAAAAACTTAGGCTCCCATGTAGCATACAAGAGAACAATGTACAGTACTGACTGCAGGGAAAGGCTGCCCTAATGGTATAGTGAAGAGAACCTACAAGAAAGTCTTCAGAGAAGATGACAGCAGGATGTTTAAAACAGAGGAAATGGCATCACATACAAATGACTGTTCAACCCACAGCCCCTGCTCCAAGACAAAGCCCTCAAGTCATATAATGTATTTAAGGCTGTGTTTTCACAGCATTTAAATATTTATAGAAACACATGGATGTGCACAGAAAGACTTAAAAAATGCTCTCTGCAGAGTCTTGGCTTTGATACCTGGCACAGACTTCAGCACTGTTTTCTCAAGTTATTCTTAAATGGGGCAATGTAGTAAACCCCTCAGGTTTAGCCAGGGGCCCTTGGAGAATAGAATGCTCACACAGCGGCAAAGAAGTTTCCTGTCTCCAGGGACATCCGCCTTGTACCTTATCCCTATAGCCATGGAAGGCAATATGTTGTTAACCCTACTATTGGTCACTTATGGTCACTCTAACACCTTTGCCATTGGTCAGGATTGGATCCAGGCCAAGGGTATAAAAGTAGCATACTGTACCCCTGCTAACTCAGAAGAAGAAGAGCTGAGACCCTTCACGGACCCTCCAATAAAGCCATACTCGTGGAACAGCCAGCGTCTTCTGCTTCTCCTCTCTCCACCGTCTGCTGGAGCCTTAGGCCAAGGGAAAAGCTACCTAGCAAGCAAAGAGCTTGAAATCATAAGAGCTGGCTAATCACTAAGAGATGAATATTCCCTGCTTGCTAGGGGCTGTCCCGTGGCCTTGGTCTGAGAGCGAGCTGGCTTCTAGCACCCAGTCCCCTTGGGGACTGAGCTCTGGAGCTGTAACAGCTTGCATAGGATAAGACCAAGCAAGGCTCATTTAGGGCAAGACTTTGGAGAAGCAATTTGTATAATTTTGGCAACATAATTTCATTGAAAGCAAGTTGCAAGGATGCATAGACAACAGGAAGGGCCCATATGCCACGCCACATAGTGTGATCTACCCTTTTAATTTAAAAAACCATCACCACTTGTCCTGTTGCAACAGACTCTGCTAAAAAATCGGTCCTTATCTTTCTTACTGGCTCCCTTTAAATAATGTAAGTTGCAGTAAGGTCTCCTCAAAGCCTGCTCTTCTCCAGGCTGAACAAGCCCAACTCTCTCAGCCTGTCATACATAGCAGAGGTACTTCAGCCCTTGAAGCACTTCTGTGGCCTCTTCTGGACTCAGTATAGCAGTTCCACATGCTCATCACATTGGGGGGCCCAGACCTGAAGGCAGAACACGAGGCAGGGTCCCAAGAGAGCAGAGTAGAGGGGAAGAATCCCCTCCATCAGCAGCCCACACTACTGGGGAAGAACCCCAGGACATAGGAGTTTCTGAGCTACCAGCACATATGGCCTGCTTATGGACAGCTTTTATTCCACCGCTGCCCCCAGGTCCTTGTCAGCAGAGCTGGTCTCAATCTGTTTGTCCCTCAGCCTGTATTCATATGGGCAGTTCAAGGTATTTAGGTCCTGGGGTGCCTATGCAGCATCCACCACAAGCAACAAATACCCAGGCAATCACCCAGCAGAGAGAAACCCATGAAGCCTTTAAGACTTGGGGAACATTTGTGGAGTTTAAAAATTTCCCAGGTTTACTCAAATAATGAAAGCAAAACAAATTTAGCAGCCACCAGAAAGCCCCTGCAGCCTCATGTGAGCTCACAGATGTGCTCTCAGGGTGTCAGTGCCCAGGTGAGACTAGCAAGACTCATTCTGGAGGTGCCACAGACACAGGTGCCACACCCTGCTGTGGGAGCAATGATGCAGCTGCTGCCCCTTCTTTCCTGCCAAACAAACCCTGCCCATGAAGCACTGTTCCAGCTCAGCAAGGAGCCCCAGACACCCTGTCATCCTCCCTCACCTGCTGCCACTGGCAGGGCTGACTCTCTACCTTTGTACTCCAGCCCTTCTTTCTGCATCACACATTGCTTTGAGTAAACACCTTTTCTTGACCCCTCTGGTCCAAGCTCTCCAAGTTTTCTCTGTATAAAAACTTTCATCATTACCACTACTTTTGGTGGTGCAGGCCCTAGGCACTGAGATACAGTCCACTGTCTAACTCCATCTTGTGATCTCACCCATCTTCCATAGCTCTTCTCCAAATCCACATTCCTTTGAGGAAGGCCTGCTGTTATCCTGCTATCTGAAACCTGCTCATTTGACTTCATGCTGAGACTGGCTGCACCACGAGCCCATCTCAGCATCACTCAGTATTGTGACTGTCATGCTCCACACTCTTGGCCACCATAGAAAACAAAGAAAGGCAACTTGTGAAAGAAAAAGAAAAGGGAAAGGAAAAGGAAAGGGAAAGGCTGGGCCCTCCAAGAGGTCTGCAGACCCACCACTTATTTCAGAATCCAACTGGCAGGGCCTCTCACGCTTCGTATTCATGATATTGCAGTAGCTCCTTGTTTTCATTCTTATTCCTGCCTAAATGAACAGACCAATGCAAGGAAAGTCTTTGCTGCCTTTACCTATAGGACTGTGGTTTCTTTCAAGGACCTCCCCTACTTTTCTTTCTCCGCTCAGATAATGGTACCATTGACCTGAAGGGACAGGCAGGACTTAACTGGAAAAAATCAAAGCAAGGAGCCCAAGTAGATCATTGGGTAGATGTCTTACAAAGTTACCAGAGACTGCCATTACACAACGGGGGGAGGTTAGCATACAGCCTTGTAATCTAGAAGGAAGATTCATGAAGATGAGCACAGTAGCAAAAATAAGAAAACCAGTAGGATCTGCTAAAATAGCTGAAACAAAGAGACAATACTTCCTCAGTTGGGATGCCACTGTCCCATCTCTTACCCTTGACAATGCCCACAGATTAGTCCAACATTTATCTTCTTCTATTTCCCTACCTCAGTGTGGTAGGAAAGGGCTCTGACCTCTAGGAGCACCACAGACAGTTTCAGTACTGCTGAAACTGTCTGACCTCCTGGCTGTGCTCCAGATTGTTATGACAGGACATGGACACACAAGACATGTGCAGAAGAGCTGGGAAAGCTGCAGCTCTGCAGCAGCCTCTTGGTGGTGTTTGATGCCAAAGACCTCATGACTTCAATGGAGATGTATAGCAGCCCTAATTCTAAAGCATGCTCCAGTGTCAGGCCCTCTGCAAGCTTCAATTCCAGTCTATTATTGGGGCCCCCACCTCTCCTACATCCCTCCATTTTTTACACTCTTTCCATTTGCTTTTATCTGTCAGCATGTCATCGTTAACCTGGAGGAAAGAAGGGCAGTGGGCAATGAGCAAAGGCAGGAACTTATTCCCAGTCTGGCATTAGAAAAGTCCTTTCTATCGCCTCGTTTCATTTTCTCAGTCTGTGAAATGGGGACTCAGAATCAGCTTCATGCATCCTTGCAACACAGACACTTGTTACAAAATGTCAAACATTTTACAGCTGCCAAGTACCACATCTGCAAACTCTGTAATATCCTTATGAGATCACAGCAATAAAGCTGAGTAGCCATTCATAATATACACATGTAAATGATGCTACAAGTTTTTAATATACCAGAGAACAGGAAATAGGACCAATACAGACAGACATTTATGAAGATTATTTTTGTTAAGAATCTGGAAATATGATGCTATAAGCTGCCAAACATTGATGCAGTCTAAGCTGACAGTTTGAACTGTTTTCAGGAAATGTATGTACTTAAAACACAAACCAAAAAAAAAAAAACCCAAACAACAACAAAACACACACACAAATAAAAAAGGAAAAAACCCCAAGCAAACAAAAGAAAACCCACCACAAAAAAATCCCCCAAAAACAAACAAAAAATCCCCAAACTCCAAATCAAAACTAATTAAGAACTTGGTTTAAGTAAAAAAAAAAGAAAGGCAAAAAATATTTCCAAACATGACAAAATTAATTTTTTGCACCCAAGCAAAAAAAAAGTGGAAGACACAGTCCACCAGTTATATGCCCAAATAAGCTTTCTTCTTGAAAAAAAATCATTATCAATGCACATTGCCATCTAATCAGAAAGCTGAAGCAACAGGGAGACAAAGGGGTGCCCTGACTGTCCAGAGGCTAAGAGCAATGATGCTGGGCCACAAGGGCCACATCAGCTATAAGAAAGATTTACAGTGAAGCTGCAACATCAAGCAGGAACAAACTAGCAGCAGGGAGAGTTGGTGGAAACATGGATATTACCTGCCCTGTTCTGTGCATTTCAGCCCTCCAACACTTCCATGACCAGCTTGGTTAAATCATTACTGCAATTGCAGACCCCACCTGGGGAGCTGAGGAGAAGGTGGGGCTCCTTAGCACTGAGGAAGAGCAAAGCCGACTTGTGCACAACCAAGGGCCGGGTGTATTGGAATACACAGTGATAAGTGGAGATTGACGTCACCACTGTATCAGTATTACTGTGCCAACAGAAGGATGTGGTGAGAGGAGGTGATGAATTCAGGTCCAAACGCCCACACAACATTTATTACTGTACTGTTCTGCTTTCTTACATGAGAAAAGGGTGGGAGAGCTGATAAAAACTCACAAGCCTCATATCTAAAAGGTCATAGTGGGGCTTAGATTTGTGCAGTGAGGAGGCATCAGTGTCAAGGTATTAGAGGGCTAAGCCAAACTGCATAGTACAGCATGTGCCACATTGGGGACAGTCAAAGACCACTGCATTCAGCTTCCATCCTTTCCCAAAATGGCTCAGGATCAGGGCAACAGCACCAGTCCTTAGACTACAGGCAGGGAGGTCATCTGGCTCCTACACAGGTGAGGGGCTCACCCCTGCTGTATTTCATGCCTGTGTCTGGGCCGGGTCTCTTTAGATGGCAAGGTTGATGCTGAGGGAGGATCCACCAACTCACCTAATCATACCTTTAAAGGGGCTTCAAGGAACACAAGCACACTCACTGTATCCTTGGACAAGAGGGAAATGAGCAGCACTGTGGAAGGATTTGGCACACACAATACAGTGTGGAGGTAGGAGGAGCTAGGAGCAAGAATAAGGAACTGTAATAACCCAGGAAGACTGCAGCAGTGAAGTTGGCACAAAGCAGAGGATGCACGATGAGGGAGCTCCATGTTAAGCCCTCCACACCTCTGACTCACCCTTTGAAAAACAGATGTTTTGGAACGTTCAGGCCATGGCAGGCAGCTCTTGAGCACGCTTGCCAGGTAGTGCTGGTAACCGAGCTGGTTGCACACTGTCAGGGCATGCATGGTCACATGAACTTAATCCAGAAGCTACTCCTCATTGTGTTTGGAGCAGCCTCTGTGAAAGACCAGCTCTCCCTTCTGCATGCTTTGTGGATCACTCACAGGCACAATGTCAGGCCCAAGCTTCTAGAAAACACTTGCCTCAGCTGATGGTGCCTGTGGGCTGTGGAGATTGCCACCTCTCTTGGATGCAATGTGGGGCAGTACAGGGTTAATGAGGCTGTGTGGCTAAGTCAGAAATTTCCCAGAAGTAATATCTTTCTGTTGTGAGGATAGCAAGCACACCAGGACAGTGGTGTAGGTTTTGCCCCCTGATTACACAGGACTCTCCAAGGTGTGCCAATATTGTTATTTGTGCAGAGGAGGGAGGGAAAGAGCAGCGTGTCTCATCAGTCCAAAGAGTGACAGTCTGTCAGACACAAGCCATACTACTTTTAAACCATGCAATAATATGTATTTGATATTACAGAGCTAACTTTAAAAACAGGAACACTGGTAGCACTCTAATACTAATAGCTTTATCAATTTAAACACATTGCACCAAAAGGCCTGTTTTTCTCAAATTTAACTCATAAAAAGTGTAATTTCAGCCTAGCCCGCAGCAATAATATTCACCAAGAAGCAAGCGTGAAGGGCACACAAGGGAAAGCTTGGTAGATTTCTGTTATTCATGACCCAAAACCATTTTGCCATCAGTGGAAGAAGGGCAACATCATTATGTATTTATCAGCAAGATAAATCATCGAAAAGACAACATTCAGAGCTGACAATTCTTTCTCTAGGATATAAAACCAGTCATGCTTGGAGTTATCACGTTCATGATTTGACAAAAAAGAGAAAAAACTCCACAGAAACAGTACTACCTCTGTACTTTCTTCCTGTCATAACAGAATTAAACCAATATCCCCAGCAGCATCAAAAATACAGACCTGGCATAACTTTAGAGTCAAAGGCACCATTACTGGCTGGTGACATTTAGGAGGAAGATAATCATACATTACAATAAGTGAAAAATGGCAGAAGGAACAGCTGAGACATGAGTAACAGTGTTCTACTGGAAGGGAAAGCAATAGAAGAAACCACCTCAAAGCTCAGGAAACAAGCTAAAATATGAATGAGCCAGGGAGAAAGCGGAGGTGTTAGTCAGCAAAGCAGCAGGTTGAAAAACACTGAAGCTCTAGAGGTGGTGGCTGTGAGCTGACACAGGATGCTGCAGGGGAGGGAGGAGTGCATTGCTTTCAGTCTGGGGAATACTGAATGTCACCTGCAGAGACCCCAGCATCCTGCCCTCCTTCCTCCCTTCTGCCTTTGCTAGTTATCTGTAGCCATCAACACTGGGGTCAGCCTCTTGTTTTCCCCAATATCCATGGAGTCTGAACCCATACTCCGTGAATGCTGTTGTAAAACGACATTGCTTTGGCTCTAGCCAGAGGAAAAGAGCTTACCTTCACAGAGCTGAGGCCATGTACGTCTCGCTTATATGGAGGAGATTGCACAGAGGCTTGTATCTTCTCTTAGGAAATCACCCAACACATGCTGGTAAAGAGAAACAGGAATGACTGTGCTTGTGAACTCACCCTGACCATCTGGAACAGAAACCTACAGCTCTGCTCAGGCTCGAACCCAACATCCGCAGCTGCACCATGCAAAGCATGCCCAGAGCATCTCTGCACAAGGTCAGCAAGACTCACGCATTCCCACAGTGCTCACCTGAGCTGGCAGTGCTGGCAGAACTCCGTGCTCCTTCCACGCAGGTTGGCAGACACTGACCCTCTCAAGGCAATATTGATCAGCTTGTCCCCAGATCTCTGCAACTGGGGACGCACCAAGACTAGAACTCTACTCCTGGCACACAGCTGTTTATGGCTAGATCCTCATCTGCATCTCATAGAGCTCTGTTTTACCACAGCTGTCAAAAATCAGCACATCCCACCTATCCTGCCTGGCTGCAGCTCTTCCAGGCTTGGGGCTGGTGCAGCAATGGAGCGTGCCTTAGGCAGTTTCTGGCACCTCTCACAGGGTGAAAAACACACCAGCTGTCTTCAGCCTCGGCTGTGGCAGCATGTGCAAAGCAAAGGCCTGACACAGCAAGCTGCAGGGGGGTGGCCAGCTGCTTCTGTAAACCACAGAACATGCAGTCCCAATACATTCGGTGACTTCTCATGTCACTGGCAGCAAGTGACATGCCTTTAGGAGAAAAGGCAGGAAGGGAGTGGCTTCTCAGAAAAGCCAACCTTGTAGCCCCCCCTCCACTATAAAATCTTGCTACACAAACCCAATATAGGAGCAGAGCCAGAGTTGTACGAACAGCAGTTCTTACAAGTTGTTTAAGTTTTTAAGTTGCAAGAAGAGCAAAGGCAGCTTGACCAGAAGTGGGAAGAATTCCTAATACTTCTGAACAATGGCGTCTGTTGCAGGGGCACAGCATAGCTCAGAATGAGCCCATGAAATAAGTCAGCACAGGCCAAACTGTGTATCCTAATTTTTACTATAGCAGAGGAAACAAGGCATTTCATGGCTTCATTGGCCTCGGTCATATTGTGGAGGAGCATGCTATGTGTTTCTGAAGCACCTCAGCCAGGCAGTGGAGGGGAAAGACCAGGCAGCAGTGAACTGCCCTGCACAACCTTCAAGCCCAGGGCCTGCCAGACATGTGCACTGGTCAGCACTTGCAGCACAGTACAAGCCACCTCCTCCAGACCTCAGCTGGCTGTTTACCACAGGCACTGGCTCCACAGCCAACGCACATCTGGTTCTCACAGAAACTCCCTAGGGCGTCAAAACAAGAGCTGGGGACTGGTTATAAGGCTGACCCAGGCACGGAAATTCTACCCCAGAATGCCGTCCAGTGCTTTCTCACCTCATTATAATTCTTGCTGCTGTGTGGGTGGCTCATTGCAAGTGAAACCAGCAGAAGCTGAGCTGGGGAGAAGCAGTCAACCTCAAACCCTTCAGCTTATAGTGAATTTCCCCATTTCTAAGAGCTGGGGAAACAGCACCAAGTAGGAAAATCCCAGTGCTACGTATTAGTCAACAACTTGGTAGCCTTCAATCAGAGGAGAAATACCACACTGTTATGAATGCCCTGCTCTTTACGATTGGGTAGAGACAGGATGAAGGAAGTGGCTGATCCATCACTAAACTGGGACAGGAGCTCCTTAGGATGCCTGCCGTGCTCCTTGGACTGGGGCAGGTCTAGCACACAAATCCCTCTACCAAAGACAGATTGTGGCTGACAGGCTGTACTGTAACAACTCTTGCCATGACAATTGCCTCTCTGCATTCAGAATACAGAATCTTAGGCCTCATGCACAGATGATCAGTTTTACAGACAGCATTCTGACTAAGAGCAAAAAAGACCTAAACAGCTGTTCCTCCCCTCATGCATCTAAACATGCCATAGCAGCCAGTTCCCCATTCTGTTCAACTAGGCCTGTTGCCAGTTTTTCTTCTCTTTCATCTTGCAGTCTTACTTGAAGGGAAAGTATGGACATTTCAATGTTATAGAAAACTACAGG